CACCGGGCCACTAGGCGGAGCAGTGGGCACCGGGCCACCAGGCGGAGCAGCAGCGGGCACCGGGCCACCAGGCGGAAGCAGCGGGCACCGGGCCACCAGGCGGGGCGGCAGGCACCGGGCCACCAGGCGGAGCAGCAGGCACCGGGCCCCCAGGCAGGGCGGCAGGCACCGGGCCCCCAGGCGGAGCGGCGGGCACCGGGCCCCCAGGCAGGGCGGTGGGTACCGGGCCCCCAGGATGGAGCAGCGGGCACCGGCCACCATGTGGAGACAGCGGGCACCGGGTCACCAGGTGGACAACAGCGGGCACCAGGCGGAGCATCACCAGCATCGTCTTGGGCCCCCGGCACCAGGTCACCTGGCCACCAGCGGGCAGGGCAGGGGCACCGGGCCCACCAGGCACTGGGCGGCAGGCATTGGATCGTCTGGCAAGACGGGCACCGAGTCATCTGGCAAGCGCGGGCACAGACCATCTGGCAAGACGCGGGCACAGAGTCATCTGGGCGGTGGGCACAGAGCATCTGGCAAGACCGCGGGCACCAGGTCATCTGGCTCAAGACAGCGGGCATCACCAGGCACAACAGGCTCTAAATCAAGCGGGCACGGGCTCCGAGTCAACTGGCGGAGCAGCGGGACCGAGTCGTCTGGCAAGACTGCGGGCACCGAGTCATCTGGCAAGACTGCGGGCATCCGAGTCGTCTGGCAAGACAGCGGGCTCACGAGTCGTCTGGCAAGACAGCGGGCACCGAGTGTCTGGCGGAACAGTGGGCACCGAGTCATCTGGCAAGACTGCGGGCACCGAGTCGTCCTGGCAAGACTGCGGGGCACCGAGTCATCTGGCAAGACAGCCGAGTCATCTGGCAAGACAGCGGGCACCGAGTCAACTGGCAAGACCGCGGGCCCCGAGTCACGTCAGGCACATCAGCGGGCTCTAAATCAACCGGGCACCCAACAGCGGGCTCCGAGTCAACTGGCGGACAGCGGGCACCGAGTCGTCTGGCAAGACTGCGGGCACCGAGTCGTCTGGCAAGACTGCGGGCTCCGAGTCGTCTGGCAAGACAGCGGGCACCGAGTTGTCTGGCGGAACAGCGGGCACCGAGTCGTCTGGCAAGACTGCGGGCTCCGAGTCGTCTGGCAAGACTGCGGGCTCCGAGTCATCTGGCAAGACAGCGGGCTTCGAGTCAACTGGCAAGACAGCGGGCACCGAGTCGTCTGGCGGAACAGCGGGCTCGAGTCGTCTGGCGGAACAGCGGGCATCGAGTCGTCTGGCAAAGACTGCGGGCACCGAGTCGTCTGGCAAGACTGCGGGCACCGAGTCGTCTGGCAAGACAGCGGGCTCTGAGTCAACTGGCAAGACAGCGGGCACCGAGTCGTCTGGCGGAACAGCGGCATCGAGTCGTCTGGCAAGACAGCGGGCACCGAGTCGTCTGGCGGAACAGCGGGCACCGAGTCGTCTGGCAAGACTGCGGGCACCGAGTCGTCTGGCAAGACTGCGGGCACGAGTCGTCTGGCAAGACTGCGGGCACCGAGTCGTCTGGCAAGACAGCGGGCTCCGAGTCATCTGACAAGACAGCGGGCTCCGAGTCATCTGGCAAGACAGCGGGCTCCGAGTCATCTGGCAAGACAGCGGGCATCGAGTCATCTGGCAAGACTGCAGGCTCCGAGTCATCTGGCAAAACAGCGGGCTCCGAGTCAACTGGCAAGACAGCGGGCACCGAGTCGTCTGGCGGGAACAGCGGACATCGAGTCGTCTGGCAAGACAGCGGGCACCGAGTCGTCTGGCAAGACTGCGGGCTCCGAGTCATCTGGCAAGACAGCGGGCTCTGAGTCAACTGGCAAGACAGCGGGCACCGAGTCGTCTGGCGGAACAGCGGGCATTCAGTCGTCTGGCAAGACAGCGGGCTCTGAGTCAACTGGCAAGACAGCGGGCACCGAGTCATCTGGCGGAACAGCGGGCACCGAGTCGTCTGGCAAGACTGCGGGCTCCGAGTCAACTGGCAAGACAGCGGGCACCGAGTTGTCTGGCGGAACAGTGGGCATTGAGTCGTCTGGCAAGACTGCGGGCACCGAGTCATCTGGCAAGACAGCGGGCTCCGAGTCATCTGGCAAGACAGCGGGCATCGAGTCATCTGGCAAGACTGCAGGCTCCGAGTCATCTGGCAAAACAGCGGGCTCCGAGTCATCTGGCAAGACAGCGGGCACCGAGTCGTCTGGCGGAACAGCGGACATCGAGTCGTCTGGCAAGACTGCGGCACCGAGTCGTCGAGTGCGGGTCTGAGTCAAATGCGGGCTCCGAGTCATCTGGCAAGACAGCGGGCTCTGAGTCAACTGGCAAGACAGCGGGCACTGAGTCGTCTGGCGCAAACAGCGGGCATTGAGTCGTCTGGCAAGACTGCGGGCACCGAGTCGTCTGGCAAGACTGCGGCACTGAGTCGTCTGGCAAGACTGCGGGCACCGAGTCATCTGGAAAGACAGTGGGCTCCGAGTCATCTGGCAAGACAGCGGGCATCGAGTCATCTGGCATAATAGGATCATCAGGCTGGATCAGTTCATCAGTCGTGGGTAGAGACATCATGCTGGGTAAGGACATAAGGCTGGGTAGAGACATCAGGCTGGGTAGAGACATCATGCTGGGTAGAGACATCATGCTGGGTAGAGACATCATGCTGGGTAGAGACATCATGCTGGGTAGAGACATCAGGCTGAATTGTGGGCGCCGAGGCACCAGGCTGCACCACGGAAGGCGGGTTCTCAGATGGCAGGCTGACCGGTTTGGATACTGGCAGGATGGTATTGGTTGGAAAGAATTTTCGCCTTTTCATGGTTTTAGTTACCGGAGCACTGTAAGTAAGCGCAGGTTTGTAAACTGATGGAGCAGCTGAGGACAGAGAAGAGCTGGAGGATGGAACAGAGGAGGGAGCAGTTGCTACAGAGGACTTCTTTACAGGGTTAAAGAAAGGATAGGTGCAGCGAGTGGGAGCAGGGGACTGGTATGTGGTAGTTAGCAGAGTATACTGGGCTGTCACTGGGGGTGCTGTCGGGGATGCAGGAAGAGTGCCTTGAGTGGAGGAATGACGTTGTAAGCTGACTGAGGCTGGGTGCAACAAGTCTGACCATGTCTGCAGTATGGGTTGAACAAAGCTCAGCTTACACAAAGCCTGTCTGACCAAAGACTGCACTGCGTTTAAACAATCTCTTAGTGTCTGTGGTGAACATGCAGAATAACGCTTCAAGAAGTAATCCACATCATCCTCTAATAACCATACCAGGGACTCTACCTGGTCTGCACTAAATGGTGGCAAAAAGTCATTCCTGCTTTCAGGGGTACCAGATGAAACCAACTCTACACAAACCTGAATCAAAGGTTGCACCTCAGAGAACTCTGTGCCCTGATCTACTAGAACATGAGCGATCCGTATACATTCTAGCAGTTGATCCCGGGGATACTCCCTCAGAGTCTGATAAGCATAGTCTTTGTCATCAAAAACCAGCAGCGACAAATACACAACCTCATCAACATCCATCCTTCCCATCAACAAGCCAAGATGGCTTCCCTGTGCAGCCACTTCTGGTCAGGATGGCCTTGGTGTAATGTCAGGGCTCCGGGTGTGACCAGAAGTGTGTGGACTGACACAGGGAAACGCAGACTTCAGATATGGTATAAATAAGACAATTTATTAAGACTAACAATACAAACATAAACGCAGTGCACCAAACCCCAAGCTAACACAAATACATACAACAAGGTGAAACAAACCCAAACCTAAACTGATACAGATACACAGGTACATACACATATAGAGCACAACGTAGTCAGGCAGGCCGGGTCGATATCTATCGGGCATGTAGGTACAGGAGGAGCAGGCGGAGAGTAGTCAGGGTCACAAGCCAGGGATCAAACAGGAGAAGTCAGCAGAGGTCAGGATCAGGCAGGGTCGGCAACAAGTCAGGCAGAAACAGGAACAGGAATGCAGGTTACTAGATACAGGGGCCCATGGAAAAAACACACACCAAGGCACAGACTGCAGGTCTGGCCATCCCTTAAATACACCACCTGCAATCAGCCCCAGGTGATGGCTAATTGCCGAAGTGAACCTCTGGTTGTTGAGAGCACCCGCTGGCCAGCCCTGGTACTGCAGCCCACAAGGCAGGTGACTCCCACCACTATTGACAAGTCCATTCCTGACACCAGCACCTGGAACTAAAACATGAGATGTAGGCAGATTTCTGCATTTAGATATGGGATATCAGCCAATCAAAGAGCCCCATGGCCTTTGATGCCGTCATACGGCATCTTCTATGGATCCATGAAGTGAGGGTAACGGAGTAGTTTTAGTTGTTTTATTGCACTGAAGCAAAGAGTCAAAAATATTTGAGAACATTGAGTAATATGATTGGTTGGGGCAGTAGGGATCCCCACCCACCTCTGACCTGACTCAGATAATGTAATAAAGAGCTCTATGATCCTTTGTCCTGAGGTTTGGGTGTGTCTGTGAGATTGTCACTTGTGACTCAGTAATCAGGAGTATGTTGTGGGTACAAGGAGTGTGGCCTATATGTGCCTTGTATACAATGAATAGGCACAGGGTTCTGTTCAATCCTTCCCTTAAACCACTCCCACTGTCACACACAATCTTGCCGTATCTACCAATCACTGTGGTGCCTTTAGCCGCATGGATAACATGAAGGTGTGTTGTCACTAACCCACTCCTAACTTTTTTTTTACTGTGGAAACTATTGAACATCTTTAAGTTATACCACAAATCATAAAAACTCTTTACGATTTGTGGTAACCAGCAGTATAATTTAAAGTCCCAAATCGGAGGTGTTCAAAAGATGCTACACCATATTGCCAAAAGTCATGGGCCAGCCCCCCAAATCATTGGATTTGGGTGTTCCAATCCCCTCCCAATCATGTGATTCAGCTGTTCCAATCCCCTCCATATCATGTGATTCAGGTGTTCCAATCCCCTCCATATCATGTGATTCAGGTGTTCCAATCCCCTCTAAATCATGTGATTCAGGTGTTCCAATCCCCTCCAAATCATGTGATTCAGGTGCTCAAATCCCCTCCAAATCATGTGATTCAGGTGTTCCAATCCCCTCCATATCATGTGATTCAGGTGTTCCAATCTCCTCCATATCATGTGATTCAGGTGCCCCAATCCCCTCCCAATCATGTTATTGAGGTGTTCCAATACCCTCCATATCATGTGATTCATGTGTTCCAATCCCCTCCATATCATGTGATTCAGATGTTCCAATGCCCTCCATATCATGTGATTCAGGTGTTCCAATCCCCTCCATATCATGTGATTCAGGTGTTCCAATCCCCTCCCAATCATGTTATTGAGGTGTTCCAATCCCCTCCATATCATGTGATTCATGTGTTCCAATCCCCTCCATATCATGTGATTCAGGTGTTCCAATGCCCTCCATATCATGTGATTCAGGTGTTCCAATCCCCTCCATGGACACAGGTGTATACAATCCATCCCCTAGGCATGCAGACGGCTTCTACAAACATTGGTGAAAGAATGGGTCGCTCTCAGGAGCTCAGTGACTCCAAGCGTGGTCCCGTGATAGGTGGCCACCTGGGCAATAAGTCCATCCGTGACACTTCCTGGCTACTAAATATTCCACGCTCAACTGTTAGTGGGATTATAACAAAGTGGAAGCCACTGGGAACAACAGCCACTCAGCCACCAAGTGGTAGGCCACGTCACATGACAGGGCGGGGTCAGCGCATGCTGAAGCTCACATTGTCTCGTCCTTTTCCCATTGTCTCATTTACATGTCAGCCATGCCAAATCCTTTGTGTTTCATTTGGTCCTTTCCCCTCCGGACGTGTCTCTGTATAATCACAAGTTCCCTTTTGCTGGGAAAGAAGAGGCGATCACTTATTTGGGGATTGAACTTCCTGCAGACGTACACCAACTTTCCTCCTGTAGCCTCACCCCGATAATGCAATGCATTTAGGAAGACCTGAAGACGGGGCGCTCAACCTTTTGAAGAACAAGGGCCACTTATGTGATTTGGTCACCAGTCGCGGGCCACAATGAAATGATTCAGAATTTAGAATTTGTTTTATTTTGAACAGCATAATGAACATTTTCCTCCTTCAGCTGCTCAATGAAGAGAGCTTTCAGCAGTTGCAGGAAGAAAATGTAGAGGATTGGTTCCTGTATAGGCCGCCCCTTCTTGTCCAAACAACAGAATGTGACAAGGAGGCTGCATGGCCCCCTGGAGGATGGGGCAGAGTCACCATTGTGACCCCTGATGCTTCATCAGTTGTTGGGAGGCGGGGTAAAAACATGGGGTTTTACCACCCCCCACTAGGGTTGCCACCTCATCTCTTTAACTCAGAACACATTAATGACACGGGTTCTGAGGATAATTGAATGCAGATAAGGCACTTATGCAGGTCAAAAATCGGCCGATTATTCATCCGAAAAAAAAAAAATCGGCCGATGTTTGGATCGTTAGTGGGTAATAGGTTAGCCGTTTTTCGTGATTTTGACACATTTTTTCTTATCGGTAAAGTTGTGAAAAAAAATTTCTACTTTCTGTTATAAATATATCCAATAAAATTAAATTTCTTCATAAATTTTGGGACAAAATGTATTCGGCTCCAAATCAGTGTTTACTATTTAGTCTGTATGAAAGTTATAGAGACTACAGACTACGGGATATATATCTGTCCATTGATCCTGATGTGCTGACAGCCAATCTCATTTCTTGAGGCCCTAGAATGTCAGGACAGTACAAATCCCCCCAAACGTCAGGACGGTACAGATATCCCCCCAAATGTCAGAACGGTACAGATATCCCCCCAAATGTCAGGACGGTACAGATATCCCCCCAAATATCAGGACGGTACAGATATCCCCCAAATGTCAGGACGGTACAGATATCCCCCCAAATATCAGGATGGTACAAATCCCCCCCAAATGTCAGGACGGTACAGATATCCCCCCAAATGTCAGGACGGTACAAATCCCCCGAAATGTCAGGACGGTACAGATATCCCCCCAAATATCAGGACGGTACAGATATCCCCCAAATGTCAGGACGGTACAGATATCCCCCAAATGTCAGGACGGTACAGATATCCCCCCAAATGTCAGGACAGTACAGATATCCCCCAAATGTCAAGGACAGTACAGATACCCCCAAATATCAGGACAGTACAGATATGCCCCCCCCCCAGTACAAATCCCCCCAAATGTCAGGACAGTACAGATATCCCCCAAATATCAGGACAGTACAGATATCCCCCAAATGTCAGGACAGTACAGATATCCCCCAAATGTCAGGACGGTACAGATATCCCCCCAAATGTCAGGACGGTACAGATATCCCCCAAATGTCAGGACGGTACAGATATCCCCCAAATGTCAGGACGGTACAGATATCCCCCAAATGTCAGGACAGTACAGATATCCCCCAAATGTCAGGACGGTACAAATCCCCCAAACGTCAGGACGGTACAGATATCCCCCCAAATGTCAGGAACGGTACAGATATCCCCCCAAATGTCAGAACGGTACAGATATCCCCCAAATGTCAGGACGGTACAAATCCCCCCAAATGTCAGGACAGTACAAATCCCCCCCAAATGTCAGGACGGTACAGATATCCCCCCCAAATGTCAGGACGGTACAAATCCCCCCAAATGTCAGGACGGTACAAATCCCCCCCAAATGTCAGGACAGTACAGATATCCCCCCAAATGTCAGGACGGTACAAATCCCCCCAAATGTCAGGACAGTACAGATATCCCCCCAAATATCAGGACAGTACAGATATCCCCCCAAATGTCAGGACGGTACAGATATCCCCCAAATGTCAGGACGGTACAGATATCCCCCAAATGTCAGGACGGTACAAATCCCCCCAAATGTCAGGACGGTACAGATATCCCCCAAATGTCAGAACAGTACAGATATCCCCCAAATGTCAGGACAGTACAGATATCCCCCAAATGTCAGGACGGTACAGATACCCCCCAAATGTCAGGACGGTACAGATCCCCCCCAAATGTCAGGACGGTACAGATATCCCCCCAAATGTCAGGACGGTACAGATATCCCCCAAATGTCAGGACGGTACAAATCCCCCCCAAATGTCAGGACGGTACAAATCCCCCAAATATCAGGATAGTACAAATCCCCCAAATGTCAGGACAGTACAGATATCCCCCAAATGTCAGGACGGTACAGATATCCCCCAAATGTCAGGACGGTACAGATATCCCCCAAATGTCAGGAGGGTACAAATAAATAATAAGAATTTTAAAAATTTTAAATTTAATGAAAGAAATAAAATTAAACTAAAATGATTAAAACAATAAAAAAGAATAAAACAAAAATAATAATATTATTTTAAATTAAAATTAATAAGAACATTATAAAAAAAAAACTAAAAAAAGTAAAAAAAATTACAAATAATAAAAATGTCAATAAATGAAATGAATAAACTTAAAAATTAATCAAATACATTTAAGAAATAAAAATAAAATTACTAAAACTAAAATAAGGTAATAAAATTTTTGTAAACAAAATAGATTAAAATCACAAAAAAAGTAAATAAATAAAAATACAAAAAAAAAATAAAGATAATAATTAAAAAGTAAAAATGATTAAAAACAATAAAAAAAATTTATTTAAAAACTCATTAAAAAATAAAATATAGAAATAATACTAATACATATTTTTTAAAAAAATTACATAAAATAACTAAAAAAATAATAATATCCCCCCCCCTCCCCCCCGGCGCTCACAGTGACGTAGCGGCACACATAGTGAAGGTCCGGCACAGCCAATCCCCATTACAGTGTTGGGTGGGAGGGGATAGAAGGGGGCCGGATAATACTGAGGGTAGAAGGGGCGGTGACCTCACTGGTTGCCTAGGAGACGCGAACACAGAGCGGCCCGCCGGTCACGGAGTCTCCAGTCTCCATGGAGACGAAAATGGCGCTTACCGGCCTTCAGCCAATAATATCTTGCCATTGATACCGTATTTGAAAAGAGGACCGTCCGCCAATGAGCTGTAGCCTTTCAGTGACACGTTCGGGCTCCGTCCAATAGCAGACCAGCTCTTCCCCGTGTTATCCAATAACATACTGATACTGGTGACATCACTCTCAATCGTTCCTCCAATGAGCTCTCGCCTTCCGTTTAGCCAATAATAAACCACCTCTATCCACTGCGCTATAAAAGAACGTCTCGTCCGTAATGACGTCACTCACACTGGGTCGTTCCTCCAATGATCTGGAACGACCCGCTCGGACCCCAGCCAATAGCAGACCAGCTCTTCTCTCCTCTCCAGCCCAATAACGTCTCGTCCTCCAACGACTTGTGGCTTCCCCAACCTCCAGCCAATCGTCTCTCTCTCCCCGGCGGTGACGTCTCCCGGTTGCCGGGGAGACGCGTAGTTCCGGTCAGGTGACGCGGTGTCCATGGTGACGGAGTAGGCCGCAGAGAAGATGGCGGAACTGAACGAGGCGCACCGGGCGGAGGTGATGAGTTACATTCGGTTCGCTCAGGGGAAGCGGCAGCTGCGGGTGAAGAGTGTCCGCTCGTGCTTCCAGGACGTGTTGGAGGGCCGGCTGACGGAGGAGACGTACACGGCGGAGGAGGTGAGAGATCTGCTGAGCGGCCTGCAGGGGGCGGTCCTGAGCGAGGTGGAGCTTGAGTTGCTGAACTCCGCCCACACCAATGTGCTCCTCCTCCAGCAGCTCCTCCTCCAGGCCCAGCACTGGCACCTGACCCTCCACACCGACGTCTCTGAGCTGGAGAACCGCCAACTGCTCGAGAGGGTGGCCGAGCTGGAGAGAGGCCAGGACCCCGCCCCTTCCTCCGCCCCCAAGCCACGCCTCACCCCCATCGATGGCCCCCCCGCCCAGCTCCTCCACGCCCAGCTCCTCCACGCCGAGATCGCCCGCCTCCAGGAGGAGAACGACAAGCTGAGGGGGCGGTTCCGAACCCTGGAGGGGCGGGTCACCTCCGCCCTGGAGGACAAGAACCACGCCCAGACCGCCCTCCAGGAGCTCCGCCTGCGGGAGAAGGAGGCCCCGCCCCCGAGGGACGTCACCCAGCTGGAGGACGCCCTGAGCAGCCTGAAGGTGGAGCTGCAGAAGACGGTGGGGGAGCACAGTGCCTCCCAGAGGAAGATAGAGGAGGATCTGACCGGCACCAAACACCAGCTCCTCCGGGTGCGGGAACAACTGGCCCTCGCCGAGAGGGAGCTGGACAGGAAGTTCCAGGAGACCGCCGCCTACCGAAACATGAAGGACATGCTGAGCAAGAAGAACGAGCAGATCAAGGAGCTCCGACGGAAGCTGTCCAACTACGAGACGCAGGACTGAGGGCCACACGGGGGGGATAGGGGGCCCCGGGGTACATTATGAGACAAACACACCCAACGGGGGGATACAGGGCCCCGGAGTACAGAGACACCCAACAGATGGATACCCAGGATATGCTGCAAGACACTGACACCCAACAGGGCCCCAGGATATGCTGCAAGACACTGACACCCAACGGGGCCCCAGGATATGCTGCAAGACACTGACACCCAACAGGGCCCCAGGATACCCTTCAAGACACTGACACCCAACAGGGCCCCAGGATACGCTGCAAGACACTGACAACCAACAGGGCCCCAGGATACGCTGCAAGACACTGACAACCAACAGGGCCCCAGGATACGCTACAAGACACTGACAACCCAACAGGGCCCCAGGATACGCTGCAAGACACTGACACCCAACAGGGCCCCAGGATACCCTACAAGACACTGACACCCAACAGGGCCCCAGGATACCCTACAAGACACTGACAACCAACAGGGGCCCCAGGACACCCTACAAGACACTGACACCCAACAGGGCCCCAGGATACCCTACAAGACACTGACACCCAACAGGGCCCCAGGATACCCTGCAAGACACTGACACCCAACAGGGCCCCAGGATACGCTACTGCAAGACACTGACACCCAACAGGGCCCCAGGATACCCTACAAGACACTGACAACCAACAGGGCCCCAGGATACCTACAAGACACTGACAACCAACAGGGCCCCAGGATACGCTACAAGACACTGACACCCAACAGGGCCCCAGGATACCCTACAAGACACTGACACCCAACAGGGCCCCAGGATACGCTGCAAGACGCTGACACCCAACAGGGCCCCAGGATACGCTACAAGACACTGACACCCAACAGGGCCCCAGGATACCCTACAAGACACTGACACCCAACAGGGCCCCAGGATACGCTACAAGACACTGACACCCAACAGGGCCCCAGGATACGCTACAAGACACTGACACCCAACAGGGCCCCAGGATACTCTACAAGACACTGACACCCAACAGGGCCCCAGGATACGCTACAAGGACACTGACACCCAACAGGGCCCCAGGATACGCTACAAGACACTGACACCCAACAGGGCCCCAGGATACGCTACAAGACACTGACACCCAACAGGGCCCCAGGATACCCTACAAGACACTGACACCAACAGGGCCCCAGGATACGCTACAAGACACTGACACCCAACAGGGCCCCAGGAATACTCCACAGGACACTGACACCCAACAGGGCCCCAGGATACTCCACAAGGACACTGACACCCAACAGGGCCCCAGGATACTCCACAAGACACTGACACCCAACAGGGCCCCAGGATACGCTACAAGGCACTGACACCCAACAGGGCCCCAGGATACGCTACAAGACACTGACACCCAACAGGGCCCCAGGATACGCTACAAGACACTGACACCCAACAGGGCCCCAGAATACCCCACAAGACACTGACACCCAACAGGGCCCCAGGATACGCTACAAGACACTGACACCCAACAGGGCCCCAGAATACGCCACAAGACACTGACACCCAACAGGGCCCCAGAATACGCCACAAGACACTAACACCCAACAGGGCCCAGAATACGCCACAAGACACTGACACCCAACAGGGCCCCAGGATACGCTACAAGACTCTGACACCCAACAGGGCCCCAGGATACGCTACAAGGCACTGACACCCAACAGGGCCCCAGAATACCCCACAAGACACTGACACCCAACAGGGCCCCAGGATACCCTACAAGATAGAGACACTCAACGGCTGGATCCGGGTCCCCAGAGCACCTCACCCATACAACCATCCTAACGGGGGCCACACAGAGGGATACAGGGCCCCAGGCAATACTACAGGGCAGGAAAATTCAATCTGAATCTGAGGCCTCAAGTTGTGATCTTTGACCCCCCCCCCCCCCCATGGGTACCTTAACCATTCAGCCAAAAGGGGCCACACACCAGGATTGGGGCCCTGGGCTGTGATATTTGACTTTCCAGGGAAGTTCAACCAAACAGCCATTCCAACAGGGGCCACAGATCTACATTACAAAACTGACACTGCAACAGGGGCCACACACTTGGATCCTATGCCATAGGTTGTATGGTTAAAGTCTGAGGCTAACAGGTCACATTCTGTGGCCCTTATTGGGTGCCTCAGTTATGTAGCTGCTTGGCCCCTGTTTGGTATCTTGGTGTTGTAGTTTAGCTCTGTGGCCCTTCTTAGGTTGAGATAACCACCAGGAGCCTATATAGGGTCCAAAAAAACTACCCTACAGGGCTGATGTGCCCAACAACCCTCAACAGAGGTGGATCCAGGGCCCCAGGCTGTGATTTGTGACCCGTGGGGCACCATTACCATCAGCTACTCCCAAGGGCCACTGGGCTATGCTACAGGACAAACACATCCAACGGATCACATCTGCATGATGGGACTGACACACCCAACAGGGGCCACGGATCTACATGATGGGACTGACACACCCAACAGGGGCCATGGATTTACCTTACAAAAGTGACACACCCAACAGGGGCCACAGATCTATATAATGGGACTGACACACCCAACAAGGGCCACAGATCTATATAATGGGACTGACACACCCAACAGGGGCCACCGATCTATATTATGGGTCTGACACACCCAACAGAGGCCACCGATGTACGTTACAAGACTGACATCCCAACAGGGGCCACAGATCTATATTATGGGTCTGACACACCCAATAGGGGCCACGGATGTACATTACAAGACTGACACCCGGCAGGGGCTACAGATCTATTTTATGGGACTGACACACCCAGCAGGGGCCAGAGATCTGCATTGCAAGACTGACATTCCTGCAGGGGCCACAGAACTACATTACAGGACTCGCACACCCAACAGGGGCCACAGATCTACATTACAGGACTCACTCAAAATGGGCCACGGATCTATATTATGGGAGTGACACACCCAACAGGGTCCACAGATCTATATTGTGGGACTGACACACCCAGCAGGGGCCACGGAGCTGCATCACTGGACTCAGAAACCCAACAAGGGCAGACTGGGGCCCCCATAATTCTAACGGGCCACAGAGAAGGATCCAGGGCACCAACCTGCAATCTTTGTCCTCAGAGCACCTTGCTGATACAGTCAAGCCATGAGGACCACAGAGCTTCATTAAGGGCCCCACGATGTGCTCTTTAATCCTTGATCACCCCATAGTGACTATGAAATGCCGACTCCCTGGATCTGTATGACCCATCCCCCCCAAATCTTTCTTCTGGTTCGGAATTTCACCTGATGGGAATACAGATGGGCAATCTCCCCCACACTCCGGGAGGACATCGAGGTCTTCTCCAACATCTCCACCTACCAATACCCTCCTCTCCATTCCTCCAAACCCTCCATAAACCTGTGCTGGGTGGTGTCAGAGCTTGCCCAGGATTATTGACTTCCTCCCCTCCCTCATGTGACCCTGTTCAGGCCTGGTGATTGGCCATTGGAGGTCACATGGGGGGAGTACCAGATATTTCTCATGGGCTCCAATGGAGTGCAGAGGACTCGCCCCCATCTATGGACAGTCCAGAGTCCAGGAGAAGACATGCCCCCATCTATGGACAGTCCAGAGTCCAGGAGAAGACACGCCCCCATCTATGGACAGTACAGAGGACAGGACTTGCCCCCATCTATGGACAGTACAGAGTCACTTCCAGGAGAGGACACTCCCCTCTATGGACAGTATAGAGTCCAAGAGAGGACACACGCCCCTCTATGGACAGTGCAGAGTAATTTCCAGGAGAGGACACGCCCCCATCTATGAACAGTACAGAGTCCAGGAGAGAACACGCCTCACTATGGACAGTACAGAGGACAGGACACGCCCCCATCTGTGGACAGTACAGATTCACGTCCAGGAGAGGACACGCCCCTCTATGGACAGTGCAGTCACTTCCAGGAGAAGGCACTGCCCTCTATGGACAGTATAGAGTCCAAGAGAGGACACGCCCCTCTATGGACAGTGCAGAGTAATTTCCAGGAGAGGACACGCCCCCATCTATGAATAGTACAGAGTCCAGGAGAGAACACGCCTCACTATGGACAGTACAGAGGACAGGACACGCCCCTCTATGGACAGTAAAGAGTAATTTCCAGGAGAGGACACGCCCCCATCTATGAACAGTACAGAGTCCAGGAGAGGACACGCCTCACTATGGACAGTTCAGTCACTTCCAGCAAAGGACACACCCTCCTCTATGGACAGTACAGTCCAAGAGAGGACACCACCCATCTTTGGACAGTACAGAGTCCAGAAGAGGACACGCCTCTCTAAGGACAGTACAGTCACTTCCAGGAGAGGACACGCCCCTCTATGGACAGTGCAGTCACTTCCAGGAGAGGACACGCCTCTCTAAGGACAGTACAGTCACTTCCAGGAGAGGACACGCCCCTCTATGGACAGTGCAGTCACTTCCAGGAGAGGACACGCCCCCTGTGGACAGTGCAGTCACTTCCAGGAGAGTGGACACGCCCCCTATGGACTGTATGGATGATATACTATATGAAATCACATGAAACCTTTGTTATTTCTCTGGGCTGCAGCTCACGATGTGGTGATGGGTGTGCTGAGTGACCCCGGGACTGCTGTCTGTACACTGAGGGGTCCACATAGAAACAGCTGTGTGAATAATCCCTGTAATGTGTCTAATAGGTGTATTTCCTACGAGTATCAGATCCATCTAGTGGCCATAACATGACATGTTCCTGATGAGGCCATTTCAGAAAAATACTACATCATAACCACTAGATGGAGCTGATGAGCATAGGACATAAACGTATTAGACACATTACAGGGACTATTCATGATGGCTGTAGGAATGCTGAGATATTCACACTATTTCTTTTTAATAAATAGAACCCCGAGGTTTGTCTGCTCACATACCGGGACTGTGTATAAACACTGAGGGGTGCCTGCTGGGACTGTGTATAAACACTGAGGGGCGCCT